TTTTTGTTATTTTTTTAATAATTTCTAAAGGATTTCCGTTACATGCAGGCTTGTTGGACCCGAGCGCGGGCAGAACGTTCAGTCGGTGATTGTCTGTAATCCCAGATTATTGTCCTCCGAACCGGCTGTGATGATTATTATTATACAGGATTTATATCGTGCCAACAGTGTGCTCAGCGCTGTACAAACTTATTATTATTATTTTAATAATTGAATCCCTCTTGTTATTCTTTGATCCCTAAGCCTTAAAAAAACTAATTCATGGCAAAGTCTAAATACAGTTATAAAGGAATGAAATCCTCCTAGATTGTAAGCTCCCAGGATCAGGGCCTCTGTGTCCTCTTGTACCAAATTGTATTGTAACTGTAATGGCTGCCTTCATTTTGAAAAGCGCTGCGCAAACTGTTGGCGCCATATAAATCCTGTATAATAATAATAATAATAACAATAATATAAATCCTGTATAATAATAATAATATAAATCCTGTATAATAATAATAATAATAACAATAATATAAATCCTGTATAATAATAATAATAATAATAATATAAATCCTGTATAATAATAATAATAATATAAACAATAATATAAATCCTGTATAATAATAATAATAATAACAATAATATAAATCCTGTATAATAATAATAATATAAATCCTGTATAATAATAATAATAATAATAACAATAATATAAATCCTGTATAATAATAATAATATAAAATCCTGTATAATAATAATAATAAAACATAACAATAATAATAATATAAATCCTGTATAATAATAATAATATAAAATCCTGTATAATAATATAATATAAATCCTGTATAATAATAATAATATAAATCCTGTATAATAATAATAATAATAATAAATAAATCCTGTATAATAATAATAATAAAATAAACAATAATAATAATATAAATCCTGTATAATAATAATAATAATAAAAATCATAACAATAATAATAATATAAATCCTGTATAATAATAATAATAACAATAACAATAATAATAATTTAAATCCTGTATAATAATAATAATAATAAAAATAACAATAATAATAATATAAATCCTGTATAATAATAATAATATAAATCTGTATAATAATATAATATAAATCCTGTATAATAATAATAATATAAATCCTGTATAATAATAATAATAATATAAATCCTGTATATAATAATAATATAATATAAATCCTGTATAATAATAATAATAACAATTATAATAATAATATAAATCCTGTATAATAATAATAATAACAATAACAATAATAATAATATAAATCCTGTATAATAATAATAATATAAATCCTTGTATAATTATAATATAAATCCTTATAATAATAACAATAACAATAATAATAATATAAATCCTGTATAATAATAATTAATATAAAATCTGTATTATAATAATAAAAATAACAATAATAATAATAATATAAATCCTGTATAATAATAATAATAATATAAATCCTGTATAATAATAACAATAATAATAATATAAATCCTGTATGATAATAATAAGAAGAATATAATCATCATCATCATTTTTGTAAAGTGCTGCGCAAACTGTTGGCTCTAAATAAATCCTGTATAAGTAATAATAATATAAAATCCTGTATAATAATAATAATAATAATAATAAAATCCTGTATAATACTAATAATATAAATCCTGTATAATAATAATAATTAATATAAATCCTGTATAATAATAATAATAATAATTTTGTAAAGCGCTGCGCAAACTGTTGGCCCTATACAAATCCTGTATAATAATAATAATAATAATAATATAAATACTGTATAATAATAATAATATAAATCCTGTATAATAATAATAATAATAATTAGCTTGTCCATATACTGTCTACTATCAGCCATGTTCGTTATCAACAAACAATTTATTTTAACTTAATTTTCATTTTAAAAAATTTCTTTTGCTCTAGTTTACATATTAACTATCCAAACGTGTTTAAGTATTCGTTTTTTGTTTTTGTTTTTAATTCCGAGCCTAAATTGATCCTTTGTATACTGTAAGTACAGATGAGGACAACAATGATATCTTTATCTAATCATCCTTTTCCCCAAATATTTATCTCACCCAACATTTTATTTAAAAAAAAAAACACAAAACAACAACAATTTGCTAACATGGTGTAAAAATGTTACGACAATTAAAATTGTACAATGTTTTCTAAGCAGAGTGTAGGTACCAGGGGCGGACTGACCATTCAAGCATTCAGGCACTGCCCGAGGGCCCGGGGTCAGTAGGGGGCCCCATGAAATGCCACTGGTACCTTTTAAAGGCTTTTTTTTTGGGTGTTTTTTGAGTGTGGGCAAGGACACAGGGGCCCCATGATCCCCCATTGCCCGGGGGCCCCATGAGTTCTCAGTCCGCCCCTGGTAGGTACAGCCGAGTGCAGATAATCCTGGAGGGGATGTACCGAGGCAGACAAGACCAAATATTCTGACTTTTGATTTTGAAAGAAATTGGGTCAAGATGAGCTCATTTTTGAGTTTCTTTTTCTACGATCCCCGATGAGTCGGCTTTACTAGGCCTCTGTTAAAGGTGCAAATGCTCCAGGATCCTGTCAGGCAGCCAACATTTTTTATTTTTTTTTTCTCTTTCCCATTAATTAGACGATTGGTCGATTAAAGAGGATATTGGATGACTGGACTGATCAACCTTAAATCACCCCAACACTTAACACATCCCCTAATGTGAGAGGACGTTAGGATCAGATGCAGACCGAGAATTCTGACAGCAAAAAGAAATCTCTGGAATTCACAGCTGATGTATCATAAAGTAATATAAAATATAAAATATAAAATGCAATAAATAAACGTCAAATTTTGAACCGAGCAAAACTGATCAGAAGCAGAAGCCGATGCAGAACGTTATGTATTGCACATGGATGAGAAAGAATTATTTTTCAAGAAATATGAAACCTTTTTCTTTTTTTTTTTGTCTTTTTTTTTTTTGCAAATTGCAGGACTTTAATTGAAGATTATCTGCCAGTGATTAGCAGTCAGACGTGCTCATGTGTTGATGTTCTGCAGAACTGAACTTTGTTTTTTTGTGAGCATCGAGGCAAATGTTTTGACTTTGCTGTCTACAAATGTTTTACTACGTGAAGGTCCTGTTGTAAGCGCGTCGTAGCTGAAGGAATAGGAGCCGGACCAAATGGAAGAAAAATATACTTGAAATATATTTTAAAAATATTCCTGCCAAATGTATTGACATATATTTGAAATGCAACAATTTTGGCCGTTTTTAATATATTTCAAAATCTATTTAAATAAATATAATATATATATTTTAATATTTATTTTTTTTTTATTAACTGCATTTTACTGATTAATTCTAAAAAAATGTAATATATATATATATTTTTTTTAAAACTGTATTTTACTGTTTGTAGGAGTAAGCACTGATTTTTTTTAATGTATCTAATATTGTACAAGTGCTTTCAGCATTACATATATATATATATATAAAAAATATCAGTGCTTACTCCTACAAACAGTAAAATACAGTTTAAAAAAAAAGATATATATATAAAATATATTTTATATTTATTTATTTTTTATTAACTGCATTTTACTGATTGATTTTAAAAAAAATGTAATATATATATTTATTTATTTTTTTATTAAACTGCATTTTACTGATTATATATAAATATATATATTACATTTTTTAAAATCAATCAGTAAAATGCAGTTAATAAAAAATAAATAAATATAAATATATATATATATTTTTTTTTTTTTTTTAAACTGTATTTTTACTGTTTGTAGGAGTAAGCGCTGATTTTTTTTTTTATGTATCTAATACTGTACAAGTGCTTTCAGCATTACTGCTATATATATTATATAGAAAATATGTATACTGCATGTTGAAATGCGTTTTTATTATAAAATATATGAAATTTTTTTTTAAAAATACATTTGAAGTATACCATGTGTCTTTAAAAATACAAACCTACATTTTTTTAGAATGCATTAACAAACATATGTAAAAATATAGGTTAAAATGACTTTTTTATATCTTTAAAAAAAAAAAATCTGAAGAATATATAAAAAAAAAAAAAAAAAACATTTTTTTTTAAAATATATATATTTTTTTGAAATATATTCTATAATTTTTTTTCTAACATATTAAAAAAAGTTAATTTTAACCTATATTTGTACATATATTTGTAAATGCATTCCAAAAAATTTAGAGTTGTACTTTTAAAGACAGGGTTTTATTTTTTAAAAAAATATTTTTCATATATTTTGTAACAAAAACGCATTTCAACATGCTATATATATAATATATATATGTATATATATATACAAAAAAAATATATAATATAAAATATATATATATATATATATATACTTATTCACACACACATATATATATATACTTATTCACACACATATATATATATATTTATTTAAATATATTTTTTAAATATATTGAATATGTCAAAAAATTGTGGCATTTCAAATACGGTATATGTCAGTAATTTTGGGAAGAATATTTCTCAAATGTATTTCAAACAAATTTAGCGTATATTTTAAATAAAGTTAACGTATTTCTTGTCCCTTTTATTTTTTTTTTTTTGTGTCCCTGAATTCAAGGCAGATATGTCGCCTACAACAGAGTGCGGGGACGTTCCACAGTTCACTAATTAAGTGAAGTAAAACATGTTCTGTCAATGTCTGCATAAATGTTGCAGCATGTTCATAAATTCATTCAGCCCTGGAGAATCGTTTTTCTCATGCAGAATCCACGTACGGGGCAAGGTTAAGAGGTCATACTCCATGCAGCTAGGAGGCTGTACTGCCTGTAAAGGCATCGGGGATCACATAGAAGGCACCCAATATTCTATTTCCCTTCGCTGATTACTTAGCAAATAGTCATTTGTGTTCAAAATATAATATATTCATACCCCGCATTCACTATATCCGTTCTCCCCGGACGCCGCATTCACTATATCCGCTCTCCCCCGGACCCCGCATTCACTATATCCGCTCTCCCCCGGACCCTGCATTCACTATATCCGCTCTCCCCGGACCCTGCATTCACTATATCCGCTCTCCCCGGACCCTGCATTCGCTTTATATCCGCTCTCCCCGGACCCCGCATTCGCTATATCCGCTCTCCCCGGACCCCGCATTCGCTATATCCGCTCTCCCCGGACCCGCATTCGCTATATCCGCTCTCCCCGGACCCCGCATTCGCTATATCCGCTCTCCCCGGACCCCGCATTTCGCTATATCCGGTCTCCCCGGACCCCGCATTTCGCTATACCCCCTCTCCCCGGACCCCCAGCATTCCCTATATCCGCTCTCCCCGGACCCCGCATTCGCTATATCCGCTCTCCCCGGACCCCGCATTCGCTATATCCGCTCTCCCCGGACCCCGCATTCGCTATAATCGATTCGCTCTCCCCGGACCCCGCATTCACTATATATCCGCTATCCGCTGTCCCCGGACCCCGCATTCGCTATATCCCCTCTCCCGGACCCCGCATTCGCTATATCCGCTCTCCCCTATATCCGGACCCCGCATTCGCTATATCCGCTTTCCCCGGACCCCGCATTCGCTATATCCGCTCTCCCAGGCCTCCGCATTCGCTATATCCGCTCTCCCAGGCCTCCGCATTCGCTATATCCGCTCTTCCAGGCCTCCGCATGCGCTATATCCGCTGTCCCCCGGACCCCGCATTCGCTATATCCGCTTCCCCCGGACCCCGCATTCGCTATATACCGCTCTCCCCGGACCCCGCATTTGCTATATCCGCTTTCCCTGGACCCCGCATTCGCTATAATCCGCTCTCCCCGGACCCCGCATTCGCTATATCCGCTTTCCCTGGACCCCGCATTCACTATATCCGCTCTCCCCCGGACCCCGCATTCACTATATCCGCTCTCCCCGGACCCCGCATTCCCTATATCCGCTCTCCCCCGGACCCCGCATTCACTATATCCGCTCTCCCCCGACCCCGCATTTCGCTTATACCCGCTGTCCCCGGACCCCGCATTCGCTATACCCGCTCTTCCCGGACCCCCGCATTCACTATATCCGCTCTCCCCGGACCCCGCATTCACTATATCCGCTCTCCCCGGACCCCGCATTCACTATATCCGCTCTCCCCGGACCCCGCATTCCCTATATCCGCTCTCCCCGGACCCCGCATTCACTATATCTGCTCTCCCTGGGCCCCGCATTCGCTATATCCACTCTTCCAGGCCTCCGCATTCCCTATATCCGCTCTCCCCGGACCCCGCATTCACTATATAATCGCTCTCCCCGGACCCCGCATTCACTATATCCGCTCTCCCCGACCCCGCATTCACTATATCCGCTCTCCCCGGACCCCGCATTCACTATATCCGCTCTCCCTGGACCCCGCATTCACTATATCCGCTCTCCCCGGACCCCGCATTCACTATATCCGCTCTCCCCGGACCCCCAACATCAATAGGCCCTCCGGCACCCTTGCCATTCCATACATTAAGTGCTGGATGTACGTTCCCTGCTGGTTGTCACCCTGTTAAAGGAAGCAGAAAAATAATTAATCTTCTGGCAGGATCAACAAGTAATAAACACATGTTATGTGTGACCAGTCAGGTAAAATCCAGGGGTGGTGTCACTGGGAGGAATTTGTTGAAGTGCGTGAAATTTTAAAATGAGTGCAATCAATCCTACGCAGCGAAATTCAAAAATATCGGAATCTGAAGGAAAATCTATTTACTTCCTTTCTAAAAGAAAAAAAAATAATTTTTTTTCAAAAATCTGAATTTTTTTTTGTTTGGATGACAGAAACAACTCCTATTAATAAATAATCCCGCACTTTTGAATTACATGTACAGAAAATAGAATTACACGCCGTTACATAAAAAGGAGAATGTGTTTACTTCCTTTCTGAAAAAAAAAAAAAAAGAACATTTTTTTTTTAAAAAATCTGAATTTTTTTTTTGGTTTGGATGGCAGAAACAACTCCCAAAAAATAAAATGATCCCCGCGCTTTTCTTTTACATGTACAGAAAATAGAATTACAACGCCGTTACAATAAAAAGGAGAATGTATTTACTTCCTTTCTAGAAAAAAAAAAAAACTTTTTTTTTTTAAAAATCTGAATTTTTTTTTTTTGTTTGGATGGCAGAAACAAACTCCCAATAATAAATAATCCCCGCGCTTTTCTTTTACATGTACAGAAAATAGAATTACACGCTGTTCAATAAAAAGGAGAATGTATTTACTTCCTTTTTAAAAAAAAAAAAAAAAAATTCAAAAAGCTGAATTTTTTTTTGTTTGGATGGCAGTAACAACTCCCATTAATAAATGATCCCCAAACTCTTGCAATACTCGTAGAGAAAATAGAATTACACGCCGTTCAATAAAAAGGAGAATATATTTATTTCCTTTCTAAGGAAAAAAAAATTTTTTTTTTAAAATCTGAATTTTTTTTTTTGTTTGGATGGCAGTAACAACTCCCATTAATAATAATCCCCGCGCTCTTCTTTTACATGTACAGAAAATAGAATTACAGACCGTTCAATAAAAAGGAGAATGTATTTACTTCCTTTCTAAAAAAAATAAAAAAAAAATTAAAAAAAATCTGAATTTTTTTTTTTGTTTGGATGGCAGTAACAACTCCCATTAATAAATGATCCCCGCGCTCTTGAATTACATGTACAGAAAATAGAATTACACGCCGTTCAATAAAAAGGAGAATGTATTTACTTCCTTTCTGAAAAAAAAAAAAAAAGAACATTTTTTTTTTAAAAATCTGAATTTTTTTTTGTTTTGGATGGCAGAAACAACTCCCAATAATAAATAATCCCCGCGCTTTTCTTTTACATGTACAGAAAATAGAATTACACGCCGTTCAATAAAAAGGAGAATGTATTACTTCCTTTCTAGAAAAAAAAAAACAAAACTTTTTTTGAAAAATCTGAATTTTTTTTTTTTTTTGGATGGCAGAAATTAAACTCCCAATAATAAATAATCCCGCGCTTTTCTTTTACATGTACAGAAAATAGAATTACACGCCGTTCAATAAAAAGGAGAATGTATTTACTTCCTTTCTAAAAAAAAAAAAAAATCATGCTGTTGCAGAAAAGATCCAAAACTGTTTTTTTTTGGGGTTTTTTTTTTTGGAGTTTTACTCCACTGTAATTACATTTTATTTAAATGTAACTTGTGAGAGCGTTTTTCTAGGCCGCCCACGGCAGGCCGGAGACTTTATAAACACGATTTGGATTATTGTATAAAAAAAAAAAAAAAAAAAAAGCAGAATGTATTTAAAATGATGACTTATGTGTATCTAGCGTGGATACTTTGAGGGGGAATACAAACAAACAGCACCAAATCCATCAAAGTGACAGTTCTCGGAGCGTGTTTGTTTTGGTAAACAATGGCGTGGGTTGCGTTACGCCAAGCCTGACATTGAACATACGCCTCTTTGTGTCGCTTCGGCCCGTCAATGTTTCACTGTGTTTATATTCTCAGGAAAAATTCTTTTGGAAGGTAAGTTAGTAACTTTTTATTTTTTTTTTTTTTTGTAATTTAATCATTTTAGTATTATGTATGAAGGTTGTATAAGCGCGAGGTCCCTGATTTGTAGGAGTTAAAACACTTTTTTTATTTTTTTTATTTATAAATTGCAAACTGTAGGTCCCGGCATAGCTTGAGACTCCCAGAATTCCATGCTCTGTTGTCAACATTAGAGGCCCGTCGAACGGTCAAGTCTGTGTGTAAAGAAGTATATTTAAATATTAAGATTTCAAATAAATTTGGCATTTTGTAAATTTTGGTTTCTTTGATGGCCATCGGAAAGACGACATTTGTCAAATTTTTTTATTTATTTTTTATATTTATTCCTTTAAATAAAGAAGTCTGTTTATATATCAATGCATCAAGTAGGTTTGGTATTTTTAAATGTTTTTTTTTTCTTTGGGGTAAGACAATCATTTTCACATTTTTATTTAATTATAATGAAGTATATTTATATATCAAAACTTCCATTAAGTTTGGTATTTTTATTTTCTTTGATGGCAAAGGGTAAGAAAAAAATTGTCACTTTTTTTTCAAAATTTTTATTTAATTATAAAGAGCTATATGGATATATCAAGGCTTCAATTGAGTTTGGTATTTTTTTTTTCTTTGATGGCAAGGCAAGAAAAAATTGTCATTTTGTTAAAATATTTTTTATTTAATTATAAAGAATTATATTTATATATCAAGACTTCAATTAAGTTTTGTTATTTTTTTACTTTTTTGATGGCAAGTGGCAAGGCAAAAATTGTCACTTTTTAAAAAATATATTTATTTAATTATAAAGATTTATATTTATATATCAAGACTTCAATTAAGTTTATTATTTTTTTACTTTTGATGGCAAGGGGCAAGGCAAAAATTGTCACTTTTTAAAAAATATATTTATTTAATTTATAAAGATTTATATTTATATATCAAGACTTCAATAAGTTTGTTATTTTTTTTACTATGGCAAGGGGCAAGGCAAAAATTGTCACTTTTTTAAAAATATTTTTATTTAATAATAAAGAAATTCTATATATTTTTTTTTTATTTTTATATATATATATATATATATATATAATATATATGTAAAGATATATATATATATATATATATATATATATATATAATATATATCAAGACTTCAGTCAGTTTGGTATTTTTAATTATTTTTTTTTTGATGGCAAGGGTAAGACTAACTTTTTCACATTTTTTAAATTTGTTTATTCAATTATAAAGAAGTATATTTATTA